AGACAAAACTATTTGAAACAGTCCAACTGCCAATACTTCTCTATGCATCTGAAATTTGGGGAATAACAATTAAACCAGACAAGTGGGACAAAACAGAAACTGAAAAATACCACATAAAATACTGTAGACACATTCTAAATGTTAACAATAGAACAAGCACAATTGGTTGTAGACTTGAACTCGGGAGATTACTGTGATGAATTTATTGCGTGTATCTGTTGACTGACTTATTTAGCTGATTACTAGCGAATGGCTGTGTTATGTCTGTCATCGTTTAGGGTCATGCGAGGTCCTCGACTCAGTGATTTGGAACTAATTACGAGATAACCGTCGCTATTCGGACTACTATTTCTGACAGTTGGTATTCGCATATAGTGAACGATTAATCAAAAGATATGACGTGTTCAGTACTTAGTGTGATTGGCTGTATGGTTGAAGGTTACGCCCTAGAGTCTTTATACTTCTTTGTAATTGGTTAAGGTTTTGAAAGTGCGTAAAGTTGTTTTAGTTGGTCTTGGCGAGTACACCAGGACAGACGCAGTCTAAGGCAGTCTTGGGCGAGTCTTGGGTCAACCTTGCGATAGTCTTGGGGACTTTTCCCCAGGGCGCTGTGTCTTATATAGTGCTCGACTGACTGACTAAAGACGAGAGTTGAAACGTATTTTGTTGTGTGCGTCTCTTTGACTGTAAAGCTTGAGTGACTTTCCCGATCCCGTACCTCAAGGGGACGCGATATAGAGACCAGACGAGATTTCCCCCTGGCACGTGTGGAGAACCCCAGAGGAGAAGAATTTCCCCCTCATATTACCATTAATCTCAAAAATACAGCTACAATCTGTTAAATATTACCAAAGTATTAGGAACAATGGTCCTATCAGTTACACATACCATGCAGTTAGGGAACTTGAACAACATTGTTATAAAAACTCATGGATTGAAGGCATACACAAAATTAAGGACATTTACAATATATACTCCATTACCATATCAAAAAAGTCATTCTTAGAGAAAACTAAGAACCTCTACACAGATTCATGGATTAGTGATATTAATAGAACAGATTCTAAGCCCAGAACATACTGCCTCCTTAAAAATGATATCAGTACGTCACCCTATCTGCATTTATTACATAATAGAGAAGACATCAAAGTAATGTCACACTTGAGATTGAGCTGCCATAAACTTCAAATTGAAGTTGACAGACATAAAAGGCCAAAAATACCAACAGAAAAAAGAATCTGTAAAAAAATGCACTTCATCAGAAATTGAATATGAAATACATTTTGTAACAGGGTGTGATTTTTATAGTACTGAAAGAGAAATACTTTATACAGAATTCACAAATATACTCCCCACTTTTCAATCAGAAAACAATATAAACAAATTCAAAAGAACGTAAATTAATCAAGCATAAAGTGTGACTAAATACTTAAAACTTTGTTTCAAGAAACATGACACAAAGACATGTACTTATCATACATAATTGTATATCACCACACTATCTCAGACTAATTTGCCATTTTAAACTGCATTTATCTTAATTTTCTTTAACTTTTATTTTTGTTACTGTTTTTAAGATTTATTACATAACAGCCTAAAATGATTTGTTAACTTTCATTATGGTGTAATAAATGAAATTATTATTATTATTATACAATACACAGACGTTACTAGTAGTAGCAGATCGCAGTTTCCTGTATACAGGTACGTTGTAATACCTGCTCGTGGTTGCGCGGGTAGGAAAGGCGGTATCGCGCGCTACATAGATTCACGCGATTTAACCAAAATACTATCGACTCCAACAGCCTTTGACAATCGGCAATAGACATATTTTTTGCGACTCAAAATTATGAGATTAATTGAATCAGTATGTATCATTACTGAAAATAAATCGTTATCCAGTATGTCGAGATGTATGATACTTGACACGCTGCTGGTTATTACTTCCAGGGCGAACTGTTGAAGTGAACCCATGACTGTAAAATATGATCCGAGGAGGCATCGGATGTGAGGGCGTTGTGTGATTTGCCACCGGGTAGTAACCGTGTATGTGAGAAAAAGTATGAAATACACCCCCAAAAATATTTTGTACAATTTCTGTCTTGAGAGGAGAAATTATGGTTGTACTTGGCCATTTTTCCAGTTTTATAACGCTTTTGCCATAGGTTCCTATGGCTGAGATTTTATGCCATACCTCAAATTATAGACTGGTTACTTCGGCTGAAAATATATATGTATATTTATTGTAAATGACTGGGTACTGTTTGTTGTCCTGAATTATTTAAAAAATCTGGATTTTAAAAAGTGGCAACAAGTGCGATTATGTCCCCTGGAATTGTTTACAAATATTAGGACAAGTTTCCAAAAATCCGTCACTGTAACACATAGAAGAATGTTATTTCAAACTGCCATGGGAACATTGTTATTGTTGTTGTTG